CTCACACTCACTCTCTCTCACACTCACACTCACACTCACTCTCTCTCTCTCACACACACTCTCTCACACACACTCTCTCACACACACTCACTCAGCGATTGGGTTGTGTTGACCTAAAATAGGCTGGAAATAAACATTAATATGTTCAATAAATGAACATTTATTAATAAGATGTTGTTGTTTATTAATAAATGTTCACCTTTTGATTACTGCTGATGGCTCTAGTAATTTTGTGTCTGATTTTTAATTTACAACCTATTTTGGGTTAATTTTAAGCCAGCCATAGTAATTTTAATCAATAGTGGAGTTAAAAAAAGACCACCCAAAGTTGGGTTAGATATTTAACCCAATCGCTGGTTTTGTCCATATTTCACGCAGCGCGGGTTGAATTTAACTCAGCATTTTATTTGTATTTTATTTTTTTTGAGTATGAAAAAGCTGCTTAACAGATGTTTGACAAGCCAAAATAAAATAAAAAAATTATACAAATGATTGTGTTAAAGTACACTTAGTAATTTTATTAGCTTTTGTTTTTTGTCTATTTTTAATTAATTTTATTTCGTTTTAGTATTTTTATTTGATCTAAACAAGTAAGAAATAACATCTTAGCAACTAAGTGAAATAAAATAAGTGAGTTTCTATACATTTTATTTACTTAACATTCATTTTACTTGAAGTAATGAATGGTTTTAGTTAATGATAATAAATCTGCTCGGTCAGTGTATTCCAGCGTGCAGCACTACAGTACATACTCGAGTTATTAAAAACCCTCAGTACTCCAGAAATGATTGTTTTCTTTAGATGTCTGTCATTAAACCACATGTGATGATTCAGTGTCAGAAACCGTCTCAAGCTGGCTCTCAGGATCACAGCGAAATCATACAGTGATTATTAGAGCTAACAACTCACCGTCTGACGGGTTTCTGACCACCGGACCCGTGAGGAAAGCACATCGAAAGAGCAAATTACTGAAACCTCAAAGTTTATTTCACTCATACAAAATCAAGAGAACGTTAAAAGCCAACAGACGAGAGAAGTCACGTGATTCTCTCCAGCTTCACAGCAAACATTAAAAGAGTCTAAAAGATATAAAACAAAGGGGAAGTCATCCATACAAATGTGCATCATCCGGGGAAATGAACAGAGAATGTCTGAAACAATTAAAGCGCTCTCAAACCAAATCCACGCATTCACATCCGATGAACGACCTGCAACAGAATGAGTTCAAAACTGCATGAAAGTGCCGCTAGACAGTTTAATCGCTGCAAGACAGAAGCTTTAATCGTAAAACTAGCTTAAAAAGGACAAAAACCAGAAACATGAGTCACAAAAACAAAAGGGCAGAACTGTCCGCTCTGCGTTTCCCTTACAAAACAACTGAAGGAGCATCTGCTGCTAAAACCAACCAAAACATCTGCTGGACCTCCTCATATATACTCTTAAAACATGACCGAAGACGGAGAAGAACCAAAGGAAAGTGCAAGAATACACGGGATGGATCCACACGCTCTCGCTTCCGGGGCCGTTCATCCAAAGAAAAAGATGAGGAAAAGAAAGGCCGACTCAATAAAATAAGATTAAAAAACCTAGAAGGTGTGTGTGGTGGAGGATCTGTGGGAGAAGAGCAGGAGAGCGGCGCAGCTAGGAGTCGTAGTCCTCCTCGTCCTCGTGTTCGGTCTGGAGCGGCAGAGAACCGGCTGGGAGCAGAGCCATCAGAGACGCCTGCGGAGAGCCCGCTCTGAGACACACACACACACACACACACACACACACACACATACACACACACACATACAGTATATATGCAAATAGTAAATAATACACTATGCCATGACTTTTTGAGTGCTGGAATCTGACCCGTTTCATTAATGTATGACTCACATTAACGTATTAGTTTGTGTTAAAAATGTCTAATCCAAATGCATGGAAATCTGATATGCAATTCAAACACACAAGTCTTAAATATATGCTTTTGATTGCACTGATACAGAACTCTGACTGGATGAATCTTATTCAAAGCACATAATGTACAGTTAAACAGTGAGAAACCGCTCGGGTGGTTTGGGCTGTACCTGTGGAAGAAAGCTGCAGGCTGTGCTGTGTTTGTGCTGGTGTGAGACGCGTCCTCGTCCTCCTCTCCGTCCGTCTCACTGTCCTCTGAATCATCCTGAACACAAAACAAAACACGTGTGTGAACGCAAACATATTCAGACATGACTTTCATTCAAGGCTTTCTGCAGCAAATGCACCGAGCAGGTTTTGCACGCTTTATGTTCACTTGCTTTGGAATATAAATCACAGCATGTTTCACATGACAAAAATTAGACATACAGCGGTGGCCAAAATCAGTAGAACACTAGTATTCTCAGCAGCTAAAAAAAGGTTTTAAGTCAGTTAATTCTATCTTTTGCTGAAATATCAGTTTTTGCCATTAATTGTAATAATGCAGTGAGATTTTTGTGCTGCACACATCATCATCAGTGTGTCTGGAGTCACATGAAGAAACAGAACTAACTGAGACAGACTCAATCCAGAAGAACTGATGCTTCAAGAAACCTCCTGCAAAGCTCCTGAGAAACTCTGCTCAAGTGCACCGAGGACAAACGCTGCTTTAAACACAAAGGACGCTCACACGTCACCAAATGATTTCATTTAGTTAATAGAAGTTAACTGATAAAGAAAATCTATGTATGACATTGTTTTGACAGCATCCTCATTTTACAGCATTTTTACACAAGTGCCTAAAACTTTTAACAGTACTGTAGCTTTGCAGGAGGTTTCTTGAAGCGTCTCGGAGACGTTGCATTTTTAATCCAGTTTTGTGTGGAGGTAAAGATGGCATTGCATTGTGGGATAGAGTCTCAAATAACGAACAGGACTCATTTACCTCTTGCTCCGATTCGGTGCCTGAGAGTTTCTTGTCTTTGCCTTTGGCTCCAGCACCGCCGTTCTTACGTCCTGAACCGGGCTTACGACCTCTGAAACCACACACACTTCAGCTGTGAAACCACACACTCGCACACTCACTCATACTCGCTCATACTCCCGCTCGCTCATACTCACACTCACTCACGCTCAATCATACTCACACTCACTCATACTCGCTCATACTCCCGCTCGCTCATACTCACACTCACTCACGCTCAATCATACTCACACTCACTCATGCTCAATCATACTCACACATACTCACGCACACTCGCACGCACACACACTCACTCATACTCACGCACACTCGCGCGCACACACACGCTCAATCATACTCACACTCACTCATACTCGCTCACTCATTCATACTCACACTTGCTCACGCACGCTCACTCATACTCGCTCACTCATTCATACTCACACTCGCTCACGCACGCTCACTCATACTCGCTCACTCATTCATACTCACACTTGCTCACGCACGCTCACTCATTCATACTCACACTCGCTCACGCACACTCACTCATACTCACTCATACTCACGATCACTCACGCACGATCACTCACACTCATGATAGGGGTGTGCGATATATATCGTCTGCGATAATATCGTAATTGTTGTTTTAACGATGTGCGATTTGACATT